CCCCGAAAGAAGCGAGCCAAGTGGGACATTCGTGTAAAGTGCCTTTCCAAAGGACACAACGTCGGACCGAGCTGAGGCTCGAACCCCGAACCTGCAGTCTCACAATTCTGAGTTTGGAAGGTTTAGGTCCCTGAGGACCAGGACAAAAATAGCAGAAGACTGCACACTGTCGGTGACGTCGGTGGTAGAGAGGTTAGGCTCTTCAACTCTTAACCGTATGGTCGAGGTTTCTAAGGAAGGGAGAAATCGGACGTTGTGTCTTCAGGATTGCTTTTTAAACCAATTATTTTTTCATTAATTAATAACGGGGGGGGGGGGGGGATAAGAACTCGGCTTACAGACTGTGAAAGATTTTGTCAGTTTGTAAGTGTTTTGGCCCACATCATGCCCAGCAAGTTTCTGAGTTGTGGTCTCTTGGTCTTCAGGGGTAATAATAGTTGTTGTATAGCGCATAGAGCAAGTTGTAGAGCTTAGAAATACCTTATGTTATTATGGTTGTATTATTATCAGATTAATTATAATGATAATTAAACAGTTATCATTATTATTATTTGTATTATTATTATTATTATTATTATTATTATTATTATTATTATTATTATTATTGTTATTTTTTATATTATTGTTATTAGTTTTATTATAACTATCATTGTGACATAATGGTCAATGGTGTAGGACAATTAGGTCAAACCAGCGGTCAAGATTCAAGGCATTATTAGAAAAAACTAACACAGCAAACAAGGCGGTGAGAAACTCCCAACAGCTGATTGATTGGAGAGAAGCAGCAAACCACACCTGAGCACCCGTCAACCGCCCTGTTTTTCTTGCACGAACAAACATACAGTCATTCTCCGTGATTAGATCTAGTTGGCGGGTGCTCTGCTGTGGTTTGCTCCTTCATTCCTATCAAATGTCTATTGTTCTTATCTCTTCTCTTTTATCATTGTTTGCTACTCTTTTGTAACATTTCTTTTGTAACACTTCTAATCTTCCTCACTTATATGACCTAACTGTGTTGCAAGTGCCGTGAAACTCTTCCAAAAACTAGCATTCCTCACAAACTGCACACTAGACTCACCAGCGGCCAAGCCTGGGGCTCCAACAAGGAGGAGAACGGACAGCAGACACAGCGAAGTCATTCTGAAACGGAAAAGTTGTTGGTGGGTATTTTTTTTCAAATGTCCCATCGAAATATAACACTGTGGCTACTTAAAACGACACGAGACCACTGCGGCAGGGGTGCTTGAAGGAAGGATGCTGGGACAGGAGAGCCAGGAGTAGACAAAGAGTAACATGGATGGACAACATTAAAACGTAGGCAGGCCTGGGTATAGCAGAAATGTGTAACGGCAGCTCTCGAACGTGAAGGATGGAGGGTCAACCTATGAGTCAGAGATGACACTTTCAGCCTCCAGAAGCATTGTCAGGAATCAAATTGTCTAAGGGGTGAGCTGCCCTCACTTGTTTTTATCCCTTACCCATTTATATGAGATTGACGCCAACTGATTAGTTGAAAAAGTGTGTATGGTAGTGTCCAATAATGTATTACTAGCATACATAACTGTAACAGATAGAGATTCAAGGATTGTAGATGTAAGTCATTGATATGACAGCAATGTTGATTTTAGAAATAATGGTGCTGATGGATGAGTAATGATATAGAATTGCGCTAAAGTAATGTTCGCGTTAGTCACATCTTCCTCTGCTGCAAAGAGTCACGAGGGACGTGGGCACCCTCTATCCCGTTCTCTACGGGAACCATCTTTAATTTCACCGTGAAGTTCCGAAATGGTGGGCACAGTCTCTGCTAAGGTGAACTTGTTAGTGTTAGCTTCGGGCTGCCCTCACTGTGCTTCTCAGAGCTAACGGCCGGACAGAGCGATGGGCAGCGGAAAATTGCGCACGATTTTAGTTTTATTGTCAAAAAGTTCAAAGGAGTTTTTCAAAACATGTTGGATAATTGCTCATGTATTTTAGGTATCGAGTATTTCTTAGATTGCGCAGGTATTCGACATGGTGCCGACTTGAAATTCTATAAGTATAAATTTAAACAGAAGACCTCTTCAGTTAGTTAAGAATCAAGACTGTTATTTCATTTTGTTGTATAAAAGATTATATTTTATCGTCCTTTCTCTGTCACAAAACCTCCATTTTAAGTTTCTTTCTGTGCGTGACTATATTTCATCAGGCAAACTGTTACTATTATTGTTACCATTACCGTTATCATGTACATTGCCATGTACATTACCATTACCATTATCATTACTATGACTATTACTGTTACTGTTATCACTACTTTTATTATTACCACTATTACTTTTACTTTTACTCTTACTATTACTATTACAATTACTTCTACTATAATTAGTATTACTATGGCCATTACTGTTACTATTACTATTACAATTACTTCTACTATAATTAGTATTACTATGGCCATTACTTTTACTATTACTATTACAATTACTTCTACTATAATTAGTATTACTATGGCTATTACTGTTACTATTACTATTACAATTTCTTTTACTATAAATTACTATCGCTATTACTATTGTTATTACTATTGCTATTGCTAATATTGTCATTAATTTGAATATAACTATTTAGGCTGCTGTTTTCATTTTTATTTTTTGTTGCCATATTTTTCTAAAGTTCGCTTTTGATCAGGCAAACCTAGAATGATTAACAAAGAGACATTTTGGAGAAAAAAAATTCTGACAAATGTCAAGCAAATTATGCTGGTATTTCTTTTATCTATCTATAATGATAATAAAAACATTCTATAGCTGTTCTGCTCACGGTATCAGTAGAGGTGACTTACCTGTTAAGCGAATCGCTTAAAGACACTGAGGAACAGGCGACACTGGTATTTATAATAGGAGAAAGGAGGTCCAGAGTACACTGGCAGACCTGCTTTTTTGTCCCGTCAAGGTTAAATATTTTAATAGGTTATTCTTTTTATGAAGAAGAAGCAAAAACAAAACATCAAAAAAAAAAGAAGAAGGAAAAAAAGAAGAAAATAGAAAGTCAGGTATTGTTTAGGTATTTAGAACTATCTTTTTTATCCCGTTGTCCGTCGACCTTAAAACCTTTGCAAAAAAGAAACACACAAAAAAAAACGACCCAAAAAAATTATACAAAACAGGCTGGAATTAGACAAAATAGGTTGGTAAATAATCTGCTTTTCAAACATGGTTCATGGCTGTGGATTGTAGTTTTATGATGCAAGTGATTTTGTCCAAGGTTGACCACAGTCGACAAAACATTCCATTTTAAAAATTTGGACAAATTTGAAACAACTCCGCCCAAAGAGGAACTCTGATTTAGTTTTAGTAAGAGTTTTACCGCACTTGCAATACAATAAGGTCATATAAGTGGCGAAGAATATATTATGTGTTACAAGAGAGTAACTTGCACAAGAAAAGAGGAGGGGAGATATGGACGACAGACTGATGTTTGATAGGAAAGAAGGAGCAAACCACACCAGAGCACTTGCCAACCACCCACGGAACTCTGATGTTTCATTGTTTTTATGTTTCTATGCACACCTAGGCTAGTTTGGGAAACAACTTCGAAACTGATTAGTCAAGCTGGTGAACACTTTCCACTCTTACTGCAGCTTGTTCATTTTCGCCTGTCCGCGTTTTAAAAAAAAAGTTCATAAAAGTATTTGAAAACATTTTAAAAAATAAATTCCAGCTGAGTCACTAACTCTCCTAACCCTTTGAAACTTGACGTGTCAGGCCAGCGTCCGAGCAGGACTATCTTTATCCAGTAATTAAAACAAACTGCTCTTTTGGGGTCACTAAAATAAATTACCTATAATAGCCTGCCTTCCAATTAGTTATTTTGAGACACCACCATGCCCCAAATGTCAGTGCAAACTTGTACTGACTGAAGTGTCTTTAGGCCAATCCTAAAGGAGGGACATTAACCATGTTCTTATGCCCAGTAGAATTGTAATTGTAAAAGGGCTGATACATCAATGACATGCTCATAACTGCGCCTGAACTGCAACAGGAAACTGTTGCTTTTCTTTCCTCATCCTTACAATCGTCATTTTTCCTCTTCTTCTCTCGTACGTTTGTCAAACTCTTGTAACCCACTATTTCCGGGGTGCCTTGATATTCGAAGCAGATTTTATTATGTTAAGGCTAGAGAGGTGAGCCGAGTAATTTTGATTCCCTGTTAGGACTTCTATGTTGACATCCACCCCTTGGCACTCATATGACCTTATGCGTCTCGACGTGAGTCTCGAAAAGTACTCACCCCGTCTCCTGAAAAGTGTTTCTTAGGTGAACGTTAAAGTGTGGTGTTGCAGAAAACATGTCAACTTTTAAATGTTTTAGGTGTATGCTGTAAATCCCCTATAACTTTTGTCACCCCCGTAAGGCATACATACAAAGAGACGAGTCTGAATCTTAGTTTGCAGTGACCTTTATGAAATTGGCTTTAGATTCGGTTGGCCATCCAACGCTTAGACCCGTACACAAAGATCTGAACAGGATAAACAGAGCGATTCCATTTGATCTTGTTTTATCCGCGGTCAGACCTAAATGAACAAGCTATAGGGACATCTCCATAAAGAAATTATTTTTATTCTAGTAGTTTTTGGCCTCCGGCAGCCAGCGACTGCAGCGGTGTGGCTGTAAAACAGGTCTTTGTCTCACGCAGGACAGAAGAGTTCGTTGCAAGAGTGGGGAGAATTGTTGAGGCGTGCTGACAAAATGAATTACCTCTCGCATTCCACAGATGGAAATATTGGCCAAAAATCTACACTACGGTCAAATTTGAAGATTTTCTATTGATGCCATATTCTCTAAAACCTTCTACTATTTCATACTTATAAACAGTAAACATTTCACCTTTAAGAGTGGTATGCCTATTTCCATACGGCCCGAATCCAAGAAGTTACTCCTTTTGTAGCACGCTTCACAATTGTTATCGAGTATCTCGATCTTTCTACAGGAATGTTGCATTTCACAACAGATACATCA